GGGACAAAACACAACAGTATGGGAAAGTTTTTCACTGCTTAGGATAAGATGCCTTCTATACACACACATGCCAAATGAAAAAAAAAAAATCATCAAATAAGTCAAAACAACCTAATATAGAAAACTAATTACTACCAGCAGGAGGGACATTAGAGAGCAAAGAAGACTAAGTGAATAGAAGCAGCAGTAATACCAGTTTCTATCAGCAAGATAAAAAGAAGTGCATTACTAAACGTGCTTGTTTACTTATTCTAATGATATAATGGTAAAAGAGCTAAAACTAACCTGAAAGGTGTCTATTTCAGATTTACCGGATTTGCCAGAATTTGGAAATACTCCTGAGAAATAAGACTGTGTCATATAATTAAGAGGAGTCGTAGCTATAACACATCGCTGTACATTGTGGAAAAGTGATGAAAGAGATTTGCAAAAATTAGTAATGTTAAACAAAAATGTACATCTGGTTCAAAACTCTCTAATTACATACTGTGTTGACTAACTAAGCACAAAACAAGTCCAGAAGAAAAAAAGTGCTGCATCACATAAGCTTTGTTCAATATTGAATCATTCACTGATCTATCATATCACTTGCTACATCCCATTTGACATAAGAGGTAAAGAACAAAATTAAAATTAACAGATAAATAATGCATAAGTAAACTTGATTAGTTTTCTTATTAAAAACATCACTCTAAATGAGAGGAGGTGCTAGAAGACAATACAGTTTGTACACTGCTTTCCCATGAGCTGCTGAATGGTCTGATGTGATAAATTTGCATAGTCTGAAGCACACAAAGAGCTGATTAATTGAAACCCTTACAATGCTTCTGGAAGCAGCTATTGTAAAACAATAACCATAGGAACTTTACAAAATACACATGGCTGAATGAGTCAAGAGCTTAATAAAATGTGTGTTCAGGATACACTATTTGGAAACAGAATTAGAGATTTTTATTCTGTGCCATAAAATGCTAAATCACCCTAATTTCAGAGGTTCAGTTGAGGATTTACTGAAAAGGTCAGAAGGTTACCTGTTTGCTGCTTGAGATAAAAAATGGTGTAATTTTCTTCTTAAGTCAGCAAGCTAAGCAGCGGTTTTGTTAAAAATAAATAGAAAAAACGGTATGAGATGTTTTAATGGCATTCTGACATCTCATTTTTTCATATTCAACTTTTGAAGATAAAAATAAGGTACGAAATTCCCACCTTTCCTGATACCTAATCATCCCACATTCCTGCAGTTGATAACAGCAAATTGTTTTTAATGCCACTACAACCATTTAATTCCTGTAAGCCCACTGATGTTTTATTAGAGATAAAGTACTAAGTCAGAC